ACAGTCGGGAGATTTTCCATTTAAGCCAGAAATTTAGAACAAAGGTGGCAAAATAACAATTCTGGATAATATAATGACGTTATTCGAATTCATTCGAACGTGTTCTCCGATTAATAGTACGGTATAGAATAGAGAGGAGAAAAAGACAAATCGACAAAGGGACGTTCTGCGTCTCGCGGAATTGCAGAACAGTCAAAGACAAGGAAATCCGAGCGTGCGAAACGCGCGCGCGGAGAAGTCGCGCGATTAATTCGCTCGTCGAGAGAAAGGACTATCGAGAGTAACGGTGCGGGAGGATATAAAGAGGAGTGGAAGGAAGAGGAGGAAGGGGAAGAGCGTTTCTACGTCTCTCCGCGCTCTGCTGTTAGAAATGAAAGCAGCTCTCGGGAACGGTCCGATGCGATCGCGATACACACGAGATTTTCTTTAGCTCTATCTTCTTTCCTCCCTCTCCTCGGACGAAGGTCTCAGCTCGGCTCGCTCTCGGTTCAGCTGTGCGCTGCGCGAGTCCACGCGAGTCGTAGAGCCCATGCGGGAGGTGCGTGGACAGAGCGAGGTCAGCTCACGCACGTGCACATCGTGCGTGGCGCTCATATAATATATGTATGCTCTCAACCCGTTCGATCATTGGCGTACGCGTTATTACGGTCGGAAGAGAACCAAGTCTGGTGTACGCAGCTTCTCAGATACAGCCGTTTTAAGGGGGAATACCCAATTAGAAGCGCGAAAAAAGGCAATTTTTGTGAATTTTTTTAAGGAAACCTATATGAATTATGGTATTGATATTTTTTCTACATGAAAGTACATATACTTTTAAGAATATGTTAAAATTTTTTTTATTAAAAAATATTCAATATTGGCGGAGTATTCATGGGTTCTGCCGACTGCCGCAAAAAAAGGTCCTCCGCGGTGACCACTCCCATTTCATTTGTAATCATCAGAATCAAAAAAACCAAAAAGATTATTAAAATTGACACTATAATTTAGTCTTTGTCGTAGGGGTTTTTTAAAATATCGATTTTTGACAAAATGGCGGGCGTTTGAATTTAAGAGTTCGATTTTTAGGAAAAAATTCTGGTTTATTTTGCCGATAAAAAAAAAACTAAGTCACTTA